GAAAGGACCAGCAATTTACTTTTTGAATCTGGGAAACCTAATTGTGGGTGGGGTGTGGGTGTTGGCAAATAAAATGTGTGGGTTGGCAAGTTGTTTGAATATACTTGCATGACTGTGGGTGAGGTAGTGGGTGTGTGTATGTGCGCGTGTGTGTAGCTCAGCAATTACAACAAAACCTCATAAGTTTTGGGAAAAGGTGGGACATAACCCATGAGTAGATATCTATCATAATTACACATGCATCCTGTCTTTCTGTGCTAGTATTGTTGAAGATAGCTCTCCTTTAACAAATTGATGATATTTGAAACTCTTTATGTTCTAAGTAGCTTAAATATCTTCCCTGGACATTATTCGTGTTGTTAATTTTCTTTGCAATGCCTTATTTTCAAATGTGCTACAAAGGTAATCTTCAATCAAGGTCGAATTGCTGTTATTGTCAGAGTAGCAGGATCTGAAATGATGAGGTTTGATTGCAATTGTCTTATTTCCTAGCCATGGGAGTAATAATGATAGTTCTTCCCATCAGGTTGAAACAAAGCAGATGATCATCTATGTGAGTATAATGTCTTAGGTGCTTTCCTAGAAATATATTTTATAGTCTGGTTTAACTAGGGAAACAAGCAATTGGTAATTGCTAATGAGTTAGAAGGTACTGTTCAGGAATTTTAAGGCAGCTCTTCCATTTTTGGGATAAAAAAGGAATGATTCTGATGGGTTTAAGTATATCATCTCTTCTGCATTCACATATGGCTTTGTGTGAAAAAGAAAGAGACAGTTCTAAATGGGTAACTTGGCAGGAATGCTGGTGATAGGAGATGATTTTACAGAGTTGATAGAAAGAGCAGGTTTGGCCTTGAATGCAGAAATCTGGCCTCTGTGGGCCGAATACAGAGAAAGGACAGTGTGAATGTCCCAATATTGTTGTTCCAAAGGTGTGGCAGCAATATCAAAGCCAAAAATCCATTGTTGGAGCCACGAATCTCAAATTGAGGAAGAATGTTGCAAGTATCCCTTTCATGTAATGAACTGGATCCAGGTTTCATTTGAGTGATAGCTTAATTGCTGGTCAATGACCTTTCTTTTTTTTCTTCTGCTTAAGGGATTAAGCTTTATTCAGGGCACAGCTGAAGAGAGAACAAAGAGTCAGTAAATTAGCAGCATAATCTGTTGAGTCATGAGAACATAAAGCCTTTTCCTACACTCACAGAAGCATTTCAGCTTGGATGACACAGATCTGTCCTTTAAGGGCCATAGGCATTGTTGCTTCTTCCTCCATCCCTCCCTATAGGTTTAATGCCAGCCATGGTGCCCCTTCCCATTTTTATCATTGAAGTTTTCTATCCTTCCTGTGGGGAAAAATATTCCTCTTCTTACTTCCGTGAAACTGCTCATGAAAGTCACCATGGCCTCCGCCTTGCTGCAGCCAAAGCTTGGTTCTCAGTCTTCATCCCACCTCACCTTGTAGCAGCAGCTGACACAGCTGCTCACTCTCTCCTCCAGCAAACATTTTCTTCTCTTGACTTCCAAGACTCTGCACTTTCCTTCCTACCTCTTCTGCTGCTGGATACATCTCCCCAGATGTTTGTTGCTTCCTTCTCTTTTCATTGACACATCCAGGGCTCAGATCTTAGATCGCTCCTTTTTCTTGCCTTCCACACGCTCTTGGAAATCTCATTTGGTCTCATGGCTGTCTGTGCTGCAAACTCCCACACGAGCACCTCCAGCCCACACCTATCCCGGAATTCCAGACTCACAGAGACAACCATCTATTCTATGTCTCTGCATTTCCACCTTCACGTGTCTGAAACTGAACTCTAGATCTTTCTTCCAAGTTGGCTTTCCTTACCTTCTTTCACATCTCAGTTAAGGACAACTTCATGTGTTTAAGTGCCCAAGTTAATTGCCTTGGAAGCATCCCTGACTCCTCTCTTTTGCTCACATTTCACATCTAACCTTTCAAAAAACCCCAATATCTGGAATCTCATTACCACTTCTCACTATCTCCACTGCAACCACTTTGGTCTGATCCACAAACATCCCTTGCGTGGATTCTTGCAGTTGCCTTTTAGCTGGTCTTCAAGCTTCTTTCCTTGTCCTCCGAGGTTGATTCTCCCCATTACTCTCAAAGTAAAGGCCAAGGCCCTCATTAAGGCCAATGAAGCTCTGCATGATCTGTCTCTTCCCCTAACCATTCTCTCTCTGACTCCTCTTCCTGTCACTCATCCATTTCAGACACCATGGCCTCTTTGCTGCACCTTTAACTTTCTAGATGTGTTTCTATTTTAGGGCCTTTGCACCTGTGGTTCTGTCTGCCTGGAATGTTCTCTCCCAGGCACGTGCATCATGAACTCCCTCACTTCAAATCCTCTCTCTGATGTCATTTTCTTGCTGAGGTCACCTTGACAACCCTAAGTACCATTGCAACCCCCTCCCCCCAGCCTTGCTGACTCCCCTGCTCTATTATTTTTCTATAACAATTATTGTCTAGTAAGATACTATATAATATGCTTATTTTTATGCTTTTAAAAATTGTCAGCCACTCCCCACTAGAATGCAATCTTCATGGGGGCAGGGACTCTGTCTGTTTTGTATCCCAGCACCTATGATGGTGTATGGCACATAGTAGGTCCTCGGTGGATGTTTATTGAATGAATGAAAGAAAACTATAGATGCCAGGGTGGCTGGCTTGCCCCCAGGGTGCCGTGACTACTTTTCTCTCACGTCTTTGATCGGGGGAGACCTCACGTCCTAAAATGTTTGTTGGGGAGCAGGAGCAAGAATGAAGTTTCCCGGGGGTAGTTTCTGGGAGAGAGAAAAAGAGAGAAGACCTTTCCTGCTGTTGCAGGGATGACTTGGGTGGTTCCTACTTGAGTGACGGAGGTGGGTGGTCAGGGAGCCTGGCCTGGCCTGATGTATTTTGTATTCTGATATTTTTGCTTAACATTATATCATGACTAGTTTTAAAAATAATTTTCATGGTGATTATTTTAATGACAGCATACTTAAAATAGAGTGTTAGTGCCCCAGCCTTGAAAGCAGATATGTGGATGCATGCAGATGATCATGGATTGCTTTCGAGAATCTGAGGGTAATGTAGTTAAGAGCACAGGTTACAGTTAGGCTGTCTGGGTACAAATCCTGACTCTGGCCCTTTCCACCTGTGTGCCCTTAGACAACTCACTTTCCTTCTCTGTAAAATTGGAATAGCAACAGTACCTGTATCGGTAACAGTAGCAGGGTTATTTTGGAGAATAGAAGAGTTGATATTTATATAGTTCTTGGGGCTGGGCATGTTGGCTCATGCCTGTAATCCCAGCACTTTGGGAGGTCAAGGTGGGTGGATCACTTGAGGTCAGGAGTTACCAGCCTGGCCAACATGGTGAAACCCCGTCTCTATTAAAAAATGCGAAAATTAGCTGGGCGTGGTGATGTGTGCCTGTAGTCCCAGCTACTCAGTAGGCTGAGGCAGGAGAATCACTTGAACCTGGCAGGCGGAGGTTGCAGTGAGCTGAGATCATGCCACTGCACTCCAGCCTGGGCCACAGAGCAAGACTCTGTCTCAAATAAATAAATAAATAAATAAATGAGTAAATAGATAAATAAATAAAGTACTTGGACCTCTGTTACTCAAAGTGTTGTCTTCAGACAAGGATCATCAGCAATACCTAGGGGCTTGTTACAATAGAAATGCAGACTCTCAGACCTGGCCCCAGCCCTGCTGAATCAGAAGCTGCCTTTTGATAATATCCCTAGGTACTTTCTATGGCCAGGAGAGAAACTGACTTAAGCAGTGCCTGGAACATAGCAAGTACTACATAATGTTGGTTAAATTTTAGAGCAGTTCTGGTTTTTCACCAGTCATAACTGGTCATAGAAAGATGTTGAAAATCTTGAAATAAGGCTTATTTCTTGTTTGTGTCAGGCAAGCTTTTCCAATAAATAGCTGGGGTGCTGTCTCAGGCCAATCACTGTGTACCTCTGGTCTTCAGCTTACTCGTCTGTGATGTGAGAGTTGGAAATGCGTAATTTCAGAAGTATCCTTCCAGCTCTGGCCCTTCGGTATTCAATACTGCCTTTCAATTCACATTTTACTGAGCAGGGAGTTAAAGAAGACCCAAGATTTCTTTTGGAAACTGTATAAAAGTAAGGCCTTGGAAAAATATTTACAAATGTCCCTTATGGTGCAAGCTAATCATGCCAGAATTGTCCAAATTAAAAAAATCTCACCAGTTCATCTTATTATGTCTTTCTATATTCTTTTTTGAGACAGAGTCTTACTCTGTCACCCAAGCTGGGGTACACTGGCGTGATCTTGGCTCACTGCAACCTCCGCCTCTAGGGCTCAAGTGATTCTCATGCCTCAGCCTCCTAAGAAATTTGGATTACAAGAACCCACCATCACGCCTGGCTAGTATTTTGTATTTTTAATCGAGACTGCCATGTTGGCCAGGCTGATCTCGAACTCCTGACCTCAAGTGATCCACCCACCTTGGCCTCCCAAAGTGCTGGGATTACAGGTGTGAGCCACCACACTCAGACCATCTTATTCTGTATTAGAATTTATTTGATGATACTAACAACTTGCAGGATTCTGTTGCTCTTGACAGCAACTGGTCTATTAATTATTAGCCATTTTAGAATAAAAAACAATGACCCTTACAAATTATCTAACTTTTGGTGACATAATTGCTTCATAGCCCATGATTCAGACAGAGTTAGCAGTTCTTAGAGATTAATTTTCTAAAACGTAACCAGCAATCACACCCTAACAGTCTGAAAGGGCTCCTAGAAAATAGTCCTTACTTTATAGAACAGGAAAATGAAAAGGAGGATGTCTCTCTTGAAAACATTTTTATAACCTCGATCAAGATTTTCAACATCTTTCTGTGATTGGAGGAATACAGGTCCAATTCCTTGGCCTGGTTGGTATTCTTCACCTGTTTTTATTTGGCTTTAAATAATCTTTTATAGACTGAATTTTGTCTGTGTTCTTTCCACAGATTTACATGTTGAAGCCCTACCTCCTGATATAACTACTGGGAAATAAAAGTAAAATTCTAAGCCCCTCAACTGAGTGAACAGACCTTCCCTTGGCCATAGCAACCCCAGAATAACCTTGAAAATGGTTCTCAGCCATGATGGTATGAGAGGTTGGACACACCTTATTATACCTGCTCCCTCACTAACAGCCATTAGGCCTTCTTCCCTACAGGCTGAATAGAAACCAGCCCTCTCAAAAGACTCTGCTGCTGATATCAACCAACCATCTGATGCTGCCCCTCCCTTTTGCAGTTTCGGTGCAACAACAGATCAGCATTTCTTCCTGATGAGAGACAATTGACCATGGAGTTGTTCTGGCCAATCTACGGAGAATGTGCAGTGAAGGTTTTCATGTCATCTGCTTCATCTTTTGATGCCAGAAGGCCTGAAACTCCACCCTGGGATTATGCTAACACTGCCATTTTTTGTACACAGGACCCATGAAGAGGCACGAAGCTCAATTGTACATGTGCATGTTTTTCCTTTTGTAAATATTAATGACTCCTCCTATAATCTGTTGAATATGTACACTTAACCACCCAACTTACCATATGTTTCTGTTCCCTTTTCCCCCTCCCTTGAAGTATCTGTTTTTGGCTTCTGACCAGAGGCTACACTTCCCAGCCTCTGGGAATGGCCACCCTGCAGGCTGAAACTCTTCATGAGAAATAAAGCTCTTCTTTCTAAATTTATGAAAGTTGTCATTCTTAAATTGATATGATATTTGGAGGTAGAGCCTTTAAGAAGGGAATTAAGGTGAAACGAGGTCATGAGAGTGGGGCCCCAATCTGATACGACTGGTGTATTAGTCTGTTTTCATGCTGCTGATAAAGACATACCCAAGACTGTTTATAGAAAAAGAAAACGGACTCACAGTTTCATGTGAGTGGGGAGGCCTCACAATCATGGCAGAAGGCAAACAGCACATCTTACATGGTGGCAGAGAAGAGAGAATAACAGAACTTGTGCAGGGAAACTCCCCTTTATAAAACCATCAGATCTCACAAGACTTATTCACTATCACAAGAACAGCATAGGAAAGGCCCACCCCCATGATTCAACTACTCCCCAACAGGCCCATCCCATGACATGTGGAAATTGTGGGAGTTACAATACAGGATGAGATTTGGGTGGGGACACAGCCTAACCATAACAACTGGTGTCCTTATAAGAAGAAGAGGTACTATAACTCACTCTCTTTCTCTCTGCATAAACAGTGATGAGGCTACATGAAGATACAGAGAAAAGGCGTTGTCTGTAAGTTAGCAAGAGAGGCCTCACCAGAAACCAACCCTAATGCCACTTTGATCTTGGACTCCAGGCTTCAGAACTGTGAGAAAATAGCTGTCTGCATTTTAAGCCACCTGGCCTGTGGTATTTTATTATGGGTGCACAAGCAGATGAATGCATCCTCTTTGCATTTTCTTTTCTTATGCTTCCACAAGGTGCTTGTATCTTTCTATATGCCCAAGATGTGCCCACTTCCATATCTTTCTCCTGAGTCCTCTTAGGATCGTTTTCCTCTGCACTGCTGCTGTAAGAATCAGTTGGTTTTCATGGCTCTGTTCAAATGACATCTCTTCTGGGAAGCCTTCTGAAGTGGGTTGCATAAGGTCTCTCCCAAATTCATGGTGACCTGGAACCTTAGAATGTGACCTTATTTGGAAATAGGGCCTAAAGACCAATAACTCGTATATTTATAAGAAGAGGAGATGACCCAGAGATGCAAAAAAGATGGCCATGTGAAGACAGAGGCAGAGATTGGAGTGATGCTACCACAAGCCAAGGAATGCTGGTAGCTGGAACAGGCAAGAGTTATCTTCTAGAGCCTTTAGAAGGGGTGTGGCTCTGTTGACACTAATTTTGGACTTTTGGCTTCCAAAATTGTGAGAGAATAAATTCCTGTTGTTTTATGCCACCAAGTTTGTGGTAACTTGTTAAGGCAGCCATAGAAAGCTAATAGGCCTTCTCTGATCCTCCCAGAGGAAAGTTCCCAGGGGACATTTTGCCTCTTCCTGAGACTTTCCACCTTCTATTATAGCTTATTTAATTGCATCCCATTGGTTCACCAAGACTGTGACCCTTGGACGGGAGAATCTTTGAGCCAACAAAGTACTCATCACAGAACCTTGGATATTGCAATGTTTGTAGTCCTCAAAAATGTCTTAAATAAATGAACAGAAGTTCTGGGCGTCAGATTTCCTAAGGGAAATAATAGCTTTTTCCTAGGACAAAAATGCTGCAACCATGACATGTGCACATCTACTTTCAGATTAATTTACACAGCAGCATGTAGGGGGAATGAGAATTTCCTACACAATTGTTAGTGATTGTTTATTGAAACTTTATGAGAGAAACATTACTGTGTAGTAGAAAGGGCACAAGACTGGGCATTTAAAACTCTAGAATTGGGTTGGAGTCCAAGTCTTTCTGATTATTAGCTGTGATACCTTAGGTAAGCCATTCTCGGGCTCAGTATCAATATGAGCAAAATGAGAATAAAATGGTGAGGTGCTGCCTACCCTATGGGCATGTTAGGAAACTTGCATGAGGTAGGCTATAAGAGAGGGTTCTGGAAGCTACAAAGTCTCTAAGCTTCTGAGCTGGTTTGAGAGTTATCTAGAGTGCCTCGTGGGGTCACAGTCATAGTCACAGAGCTGTAGGAGTTAGACCTATAAGGGAGTTGAAGGATCATATAATGAACACCCCAATACCACATGAGGAAAACGAGTCCAAGAGAAATTGTGACTCACTTATCTACTCTGAATCCAGTGGCCCCACAGTGGGAGCCTGGGTCCCTTCTCACTAAGCTGAGATGCCATAGCAAGAGGCAACTAGCAATGTTTCTTTCTTTGCAGAAACTAATCACAGTGAGCTCATCTGATGGAACAGACAGAACAAGTGCAGGACAATTCTCAGAAACACAATAAGAATGTTATACATAACGTCAAACTCATTTCGTCAGACGATTCTTTGCAGTTCATTTTGAAGAATGTCATAAACATTTTAGCAATCCTAACATGATAAGGGTATAACTAACGATGGCATTTATCCAAGGCTTAGGTTGTAGAATATTATGCCCTAGATATTTGACAGACAGGATTGTGAATTTTTAAGTCAAACAGATGAGGTGGAGATACCCAGGGAATATACTGGCAAATCAGCAGTTCTCATTGGAAGAGTAAACGTCCATGATGTGATGTAAGGGTCCGTGATGTGATGCAGAGATTGACAGTCTAGTTCCTAGACCTGAAACTGTTAAAATGCTGATTCTGGTATTCCCAGTCGCTTGTTGAAGAAGAGGTTAAAAACCTGTTATAAGGCACTGTAGATGTGAGTGATTGGTTAACTTTAAAATGTCCCTTACTGTGGGCAAGATCACATAGTTGGATGCATGAAAGAGTGCTCTATTTATTAAGGAAATGAGAACTACGAATGAGAAAGCTGGATGCTAACATTCTCAGATGGGAGCTCATTTTATTTTCTAGTAAAGGAAAACACCAAGGAATATGTCTCAAATTAAGGTTATGCTGTACTAGATATATGAAGAACTATGTCTTTAAATGACTTAACGGGACATTTTCGAGCAACTCAGCACTTGGCAGGTTTCATTTTGACAAGCAGGAGCAGGTGGGAGGCTCAGGCTTCTCAACCTTGAAGAGATGACCCCAAATGACTTTGTGTTTTCCTGATAGCTGCAAGATAAAATAAGGGTTAATCAACTGTCTGGGGGAAGGTACATCCATTGCTCAGGTGAAGGGGAGAGGATTGTATGACAGATGAATAGAAAGAACCAGTGTCAGGAAAGCACACAGTGACATACGTGCTGGGAAGCACGCTGGCCAGGCATCCCTGGGATCCGGTGGTAATGGTTTCTGTTCAGCACAAAGGAATTAAACCCAACAGTCAACGGTGCTCACACAAGCGTGCATACTTCTGCAGCTCTTGAGTGAGAGATTTTTCTGTTTTTCTACACTTGAGAGGAACCGACCCTGCAGAGGCAATACACCTCCAGGCAGGCTTATGCCTTTTCTGAACTTTGAGAGGCTTTAAATGTTTTGAAAATAGGTAACTTTTCTGAAATTGTTTCAAATCGGGACCCTTTTGACACTCTTTTCCACTTTTTCTACTGCTTCTATTTTCTTCATTAGTGCCTCTCCCTCTTCTGCTTCCTCTAATCTCTGTCCCTGCCAGTCTGGGTCAAGTTTCTGGCACCTGACTTGTTTGCCAGGAAAAAGACAACTGCGGTGAAGGAGAAAACCCTTTCCTGCGTGCTCGGCTGCCTTCGGATCCAATGCTCCTAGCTGGGAGATGGGAAGCTGTGGGCTGCGCAGCGGGCCCTATGGTTTTGGAAAGGGGACACCCCACCTCGTGTTCATCTTTGTAGAATCTGGGCAGGTTTGGGGGTCCTCATGAAAGATTTTGAAATTTTTGAAGTCTATACTCTGCCTGTTTTTCTACAAAATTCTTTAGTAGGTGAATCATTTACTTAACATTGTATACTTGGGAGAATGTGATGATGGGGACAGAGCATGCTGTATTGCATGGCCTCTTAGGAAGAAAACACTATGGGCTGCCCTGCAGGAAGCAGGCAGAAACTGTCGTCAGTGAATGTTGGGAGGGTCCATAATGTTGGATTGGAGTAGAACTAGAGTGAGGTATTTGATTTTGGTTCTATTTGTTTGGTATGAAAATTCTATCAGATTCTCTCATGTTCATATTTCTCCCTGTATTCATAAAAGAACAGTTTTGCAAACCAGAAAAAAGATATACACAGTTGGCCCTCCATATCTTTGGGTTCTACATCTGTGGTTTGAACCAATTGCAGATTGAAAATATTCAGAAAAAACTGTGATATGTGTAAGTCTTTGGGAGTTCATGCTGTATAAATAATTACTGTGAAGTTTCCATTTCATATGTGTAGACAGACTCTTGGAAATAGCTAAGATAATAACAATGGGAAGTGGTCATATATTGAAAGAAAGAGAACAGCACAAATTGAATCCGAATCATAATTTTCTAAAGCAAATGTGGATGTGAACATATATTACTGTACAGTCATCCCTGAATGTCTAAGGGAGATTGGTTACAGGGCCCCCAAGGATACCAAAACCTACGAATGCTCAAGTCCCTGATCTAAAAATGCTGTAGTATTTGCATATAATCTATTCACATTCTTCTGTATACTTTAAATTGTCTCTAGATTACTTATAAGGTCTAATACAATGTAAATGCTATGTAAGTAGTTTTCACACTGTATGGTTTAGGGAATAACGATAAGAAAATAAAGCTATTTATACAGCATGGACTCCCAAAAGACTTACACATATAATAGTCAGATGATGATTTAAAAATTGCTGTGTCAGGTCTTTCAACCTTTAATTCCATTTTTATTTTGCTTTTCTCACTCTCTCCACAAGCACGAATATACTTATATGTAATGTATATAATATTCTTCTAAATCTTGATCATTTGATTGAGGTGGTGTTTGCCAGGCTTCTCCACTGTAGTTACTATTTCTCTCTTTGCAAATAGTAAAAAATTTGTGAGGAGACGCTTCACAATTATGTAAACATCCTATTTGTCTTTAAATTTTCCTGCACTTGTTAGCATCCACTGATAATTTCCCAACTCCAACATGCCAAGAAATAAATGTGGAA